AAATGAATGAGCTGCGTTTTCTCAGCGGGATTCCTAAAAACGGCGCCCCCCCCGCACAGGCACTCACACACACCACACCACACATGCACCCACACACATGCACACAAGAGCGCGCGGGTTTGTTTGGCGCGGGGCTCGGAGGGGCGCGGGATACGAGCGGAGCTGCCGCGGCGGCGAGTCACGCTGCCAGAAGCAGCCTGAGGCGGTGGCCAGGTCCCCGCGGTGCCGCTCGCGTGGGACCGGGGCATTTGTGACCGCGTGGAAGCAAAGCGGGATTGAAGAAAGCGGCTTCAATGCCCCTTTGCCACAGGCGCCTGAAGGCTTGCGGTGATCCGCCGCCCGCGCCCTTACTGCTCTACAAAATGCAAAAGGTTTTCAAGACCCGGCTAGACAGAGCCTTGGCTGAGATGATCTAGCTGGGGCGGACGAGGTCCCTGCCCGCCCTCCTTTTGCAGGGCTGTGACAGCGGAAGCAGAGTTGCTGTGCTCGCAATGTGGTTCCAGCCGGAATAAAATGACCCGGCGCGTTTCTCCCCGCAGCCGCTCTCTCCGTACTAGGCATTTGCCCATCGCCGATGCAACAGCTACGGGGCAAAAACTGTCTGGAGCACAGCTAGATGTAGCAAATACACAGGCACCAAAGGGTGCTGTATTACAGGACCCGGTAGGACTTAAAGGGATGCCAGGCACAAAGGCCTGAGGGGGGATATTCACAACCACTTTAACTGCTAAGCAATGCTAAAGCTATTAAAATAGATTTGCCATAGATTTTTAGACACGAATTAACCTCAGGTAAATAGATACCGCAAAAGCAGCTCCACTGCTCTCATTATTAGTGTGGCTTGCTAACACAGGCTGTTCTTCTCGCTAACGTGCGGGTTGTGAATGAGAGTGGGAAGATACTGTTTTATTCTCAGACTAGAGCCGGCGTCTGCCTCTGAAATCCTCCGCCTTGTGCCCGTGTGTTTAAACAGGTGTCGTTTTTAGTTCCGAAAACCAAAGATTCTCCCTGTACTATAAACTGCTGCGTGCCAATAAGGGCAAGAGGTGCCAATCAGTAGGCGAATCCAGATGTTTCTCGTTGTTTATTAAGTGCCTCGGTTATGTTTGTTATGCTGCGAGACATGTACATACATATATATTATGTATGTGTGTATGAGTATATATCTATGTCTGTGTATATATATGCGTGTGTATGTGTGTTTGTATGCATATATATATGTTGTACCTGTGTGTGTATATCTATGTATGTGTGTAGGTGTGTGTATATATATATGTGTGTGTGTTTATATGTGTGTGCGTGCCTGTGTGTACATATATATGTGTGTGTATATAGAGAGAGATATCTGCGAGAGGATGTCCTGCAGAGAAAGAATCGCTGCTTTCTGATGTGATCTCTGTCTTTTTGAAAACCGCAATGAACATTTTACAGCTCGCGAACTATCCCGCATGTGACAGGAATGCAGCTCGGACTCTTGGCAGGTAGCATTTTTCCCAGCCACGGCCCGGGTCTCTTCCTGAAAAGCAAAGAAACGCTTTGCAATGCGCTTCTGTATGGAGACAGAGCTTTCTAAGAGCTGTGAAACGTTCCGCTTAGTGGTCGTGGTGGTGGTGGTGCTGCTGCTGAAATTACCCCTCGTCCTGATCCGGAATGTAAATGCAGACGCCCAGAAGATAATGATTCTTGTTTTCCATTGCAGGAGAGAAGCCTTTTAAATGCGAGTTCGATGGCTGCGACAGGAAGTTTGCCAATAGCAGTGACAGAAAGAAACACTCCCACGTCCACACCAGTGACAAACCGTATTATTGCAAAGTCAGAGGCTGCGATAAATCTTACACGCACCCCAGCTCCTTGAGGAAGCACATGAAGATCCACTGCAAGTCCCCGCCACCTTCTCCAACTCCCGGATCTCACGGTTACCAATCTGCAGGTACCCCGCTAGGTGCCCCGCTCTCTCCTGTCCAGGACTCAGCCAGGGGACGCTCTGCCAATCTCTCCCCTCAGGTCACCAACCTCAACGAATGGTACGTCTGTCAGGCCAGCGGGGTTCCTAACAACCTTCACACACCTTCCAGCAACGTGTCCTCTTCTGAGTCCGAAGATGAAGAGGTTTATAGGAACTCTGATACAAGAACTATCCATTAAAGGGGGGAGGGGTGGGGGAAGCAACAGCAAAGTTTCTGACCTGGGAGTACTTGCACGACTCTCCTAAAGTGTAGTGACTCAAGGCCTGAAATAAATGGATGGCATAAAGATGCCATCCGGTTTCACCGGCACTATTTATTCACTATATGAAACCCTATGGTGTTTGTACGCGGTAACTAATTTAATTAAGACACTTGGACCTTTTTTAAAGAAAAAATAATAATATTATTATTAATAATAATCATAATTCCCAGCTGGACTCTCTCAGCGAACCAAGTTGCATGTCTGTAGGTATGGGGAAGATGCCAAGGGAGCTCCGTGGACAGGTCGGTTCACCGAGATGATACACTGCCACTGCCAATGCAATAGGTCTCTTGCAACAGGGGAAGCGGAAGGGCGTGCGTTGTGCAGGCTGACGGAGTCCTCAGCCACGCCTGGAGTGGCTCTTAAATCCTTTAGATCCCATTCCCGGGGCTTCTTTGTAGTCGGAGTAGGCCCCAATTCCGCAATGGCCTCTTGATTGTAAACCAGCACCTGCTCAATCTCCGACCAATCGGGGACAAGGTACACCTCCAAAAAAAGGGTTTTTTTTCCCTCCTCTTTAGGTTCAAATCTCTGATAATTTTCCTTTCTGTTCTGAAGCGTTGGGTTTCAGCCAAATCCAATATTTTATACCTAGACTTGTTTCCTTATCACTTAGTTTTACACGATGTGAAAACGATTTAAACAAAAAACAAAACAAAACAAAAAAAAGAAAAGAAAAAAAAGAAAAGAAAAAAAGATGCAGCATTTCTCTTAACGTGTCCTGTCATCAGGAGTCCTGAAACACAACCGGGAAATAAAAGAAAAACTGCTGCTATTTGACAACTGCGATACTGTGATATTTTTTCTAAAGCACACAAAATTCAGCTCCTTTTTGTAAAGTTTGTCTAAAAGAGAAGATCCTGCATCTTGCTATGTCTAGACCATGTGTGTAGTAGCCTGTTGTTAGGTCAAAATGCTTCGGACTTCAGCGCCATTATTCCATCAAAATGAGGAGTTGTGACACTGTTGTGATGTCTACTTTTTGAATGGTGATATTTTAGAATAATCAAACTCCTTTTCTACTATTGTGTATTCCCGGTTTAAATTGCTTTATTATTTCAACATCTGAAATCATGTTTGTATTCATTTTTTCCCAACCAATGCAATATCCAAACGACCACGTGTAGTGTTCAGTTGCATTAAGAGAGGAAAACAATTGTCATAAATATTAAAATTTAAAAGGTTCATAGTTAGAGCAAAAAAATTGATGAGTGCATGACCTTTGGCACAGCTGTCAAGCTATTAAAGAAAAAGGTCAAGGAACTACGACAATAACTCTTAGTCAATTTATTTGCGGTTGGTACGACACATTTCACATGCAAAATGTGAGTCCATCATAAACATCATACAAATAAACTAAAGAGCACTAATTTATCCTCAGAGACCCTGAATACTAAACCGGTAGTCTCCCCTCCCCCAGGGTTTGTAGAAATTTGTTTTGTGTGCTGTGAATGGTTGATGTAGTCTTGTCATTGTTAATAACTTGTATGTGAATGCTATTATTTTGTACAGTTAAATTAATTTATTTTCGGACATCATCCTTTTCTGGAAGAGTACAGAACACACCAAAGAATTATATTATTAATTTTGGTGATAGATTGTTGTTTATGATTCCATGGTTTGTAAAAAAAGAAAAAAGAAAAAACAAACAAGAACATTATATTTTTCAGCTTACTTGAATGAACAATGTAATGTGAAAACAGACTCTTCCTGCATGTTTTCTGTGCAGTGTGGTGGTGATGATATATATAGTTTATAGAGATATTATATTAATAGTACAGTGCATGGTGCTGTCACTCTGGAAGCCTTTAAACGTTGTCTTCATATTGTTATGGTGAATATAAAGATACAGACATTCCTTACAAACAACAAGAAAACTTGAATAGAAAATAATTTTTTTAAATTTATTTGATTTGTTTTTTATTCATTTTCAAAGCCCATTCTAATAAATAGAAAATAATGAAGTATTATTACTTTATTATGGACTTTTTAAGGGTAATTTATGTAATGTAATCTTAATAGAAATATTTTTCTTGCTGATTTATAACGAACTGTTTAATTTATACAATTTTCCAACAATAGATTGCACTATACATTACTACATGACAGGGTTTTTAAAATATGAAATTAAGGGATATATTACTATTTTTATGTACTTTGCCACACATATGATCACACACTTGCCCATAAATTTTATGACACATGATACTTCCTAAATAGAAAGCCTTCATCTTTGTAAACCTGGACCATAAAAACAAGAATGGTTATCAAGCAAATAAATAAAAATATTATTCTTATGTATTGCATGTGCTTTACTGATAGATGAGAGACAGACATAAACCAGACATACTCATGTAGAGGATAGATAGATAGATAGATAGATAGATAGATAGATAGATAGATAATGGTAAATTATAGGATAAAGGTGAAGAACAGTAAGACAAATGTTAGAATTATTTTTTCCAGTAGAGATACTATTTTTCCCAGCCCCCACAACGTAAACAATGTTTCTTCCTTGTTATTTAGATTTTATTTTCATTCCATATATATATATGGAGCTGATCTTATAGATCCATTTATACCGTCCATTTTTGTTGTCTTTACTTAGGTGAGTAGTTTCCAATTGAAGTCAGCCGGGTTAATCCTGTGAATAAAGCAAAAGGAATTACAGGATTTGGCTTCTAATGATGAAACAATAAGACATTCTACTATTATACTATTATCTTTACATGCAGAGATAAGATAGATGGATGGACTGATGGGTGGGTGGATGGATGGATAAATAGACAGAAAAACACTATGCGGGTACTCCTCCCTTCAAAATAATAATAATCAAACACCGACAGGTCTAATCAGTTAAAATATTAATATTTATTTAGTAATTTGCTGGGCCTTTCTATCAGTCTTTTGACACAAAACTCATGCAGACAGTGGAATGGTTCAATTATGATATTTTAGTTTAAAAGTGTACCAGCAAATTATTTGAGAATATATAATTGATCTCATTTTGTTATACATAATATTAAGAGATCACTAAACGGAAAAAAAAGTTTTTAGGAGCTGAATAAATAAAAATATAAAGTGTATAAGAATATTCTTTATAAAAATATAAACTATGCATCTATATATTAATGAGTGTCTCTTCAAAGAATGAAAGCTCAGTTAAATCTATTATAAATAATTTTAGATAAAATTAAAATATCGTTAGATCAGCATTATTGAAGATTACTGTGCCCCCCCCCTTTTTTTTTTTGGTAAATAAAGCTAGCCCAGGAATTTCAAACGTGTTTTTCCAATCTTTGAAAATGACTGGTCAAAATGTCAATAACAGTTTCACCAAAAGGTTATAGTGTTTTTTTAAGTCAGTTTTGTTAAATGCAGTAAAGGTGAAACAGGTTGCAAAGAGTTGTTTCAAGCAAAATGACAATAACCAACATACGAAGCAGAAAAACACTCATAAATGAGGGCTCCAATCAATGGGAAAACTTATAGCTCTCTAATGAAGTTTCTTGTGAAAAGGAGGGCAACACAAAGCCACCAAGACATGAATCATTCATGGGAAATATAAAAGATAAAAGATATCTGACAATGAGCAGAACCTTGTATAGAGTGTATAAAACAAGTTTCCCCTTCTTATTTTCTGCTTTAAAACGCACAATCTCCCACTCCTAGTGTTCTCTGTCCAGTCTATAGAGTTAAAATTGACCAGTGCACGTCTTGCGCCACTTCAAAGTAATTTAGCCCAGAACGGAAGGCTTGGCGCTTGGACAATCTTCATGGTGTGTTAAGATTTCTATGGCAATTGGCAAGCAAGACGTTCCCATCTGAATATGTCTCAAAGAAAGCCACTTATTGACACTAAGTTGGCCATCATCAAAGACTTCATCTTTTCTAGGCAAAACGTGTTCCTAACAAACACTGTTTAAATCATCTACCTTTGTATTAGGAACTGTGAGACATTTCACTACACATTCTTATTTGCGTTGAGATCTTTTAAGAGTAAAGCTGTGATACCAAACTCCAACATACTAAGGACATTCTCAAGTGTGGGAAATTACATTTCAAGGCACTCGAGGAGGGGGTGACTTAGAGAGCCATGTGCAGAGCAGCGGCGAGCCTGGCAGTGAGAGTAGGTTTTACACACACACACACACACACACGTAGGCACACACGTGTGTACGTGTGTGCCGCCACATCGATACGATTTGAGAGGAATATGGCTTTGTTTTAAAGGTTGTCTTCCCATGTGGTATTCCACAAGAAATTAAAACAAGAAGTTGTAAATAGGCTTAATCCCATGGCTATTCCTTCAAGGTAAGTATTTCAGGTATTCCCAGGCTAAAGACACACACCTATCCACACCCTTTGGGTTCTGCTCAGACCCGGTCTTGTTATCCTTTCCATACGCATTCAGACAAGCTCCTAAAGCCTCTCTTCCTAGCTGTCCATCTCTGCCCCTGGCCCCAGAGCCCTTAAACAGACACGCACACACACATCATATACCGACACGCACACACACACACACTCACCGCCACATATTCACACACAACGCAAGTGCCTAATCAGGCAGGGAGAAGTTCAAAGGCAGGTTCTTTGAAATTCAAACTACTGCTTTTATGGTACATCAACATGGAGCGTTAGTATTGCTATGGCAATGAGCACAGCCAAAGCAGGCTGCATTCAAAACAGTCCACCTCGATTCGAGACACTCTATTAAGATACAGTTGCATTGACCTTTAGTTTCATGCCATGTTAGTTCAGTCAATTTTCACTTCATCAGGAGCCTCTCATATTTTTGGCCTCTCTCCCGTCCCTTTGTAGGACCCTCGCCATCCCCGCCAACGCAGGGAAATAAACAAACAAATAAACAAACAAATAAATAAATGCTAGGGAAGAAAGCTCCAGTTCTTCTTCTTCCTCTTCTTCTTCCTCCTCCACCCCCTCCCCTCTTTTTTCCTTCCACCTAAGCACTTTTATTTGCAGAGCGATTGTTCTTTGTTTATTTAATACAAGTACTGTGTGAATGGTGAAAAATAAACACGATGAAAAATAACCAAACAGATGATTCCTCCAAGTGAAAAAGCCCGGACTTAATAAAAGTGCGAGGCAGTCACCGTTGAATGAGAAATCCTTTGAAGTGGAACTTATTATAGGAGGAATACTTTTTGGTTGCCCTAACGACGCTGCTGAATTGAAAGGGCTCTCCTTTGTCAACGATTTGTTCTCCTTTGCTGGGATGCCCGTAGAAATTACTTACATGGGCTGCCTTAACATGCAGCCTGCAAATCAGTAACTTTCCAGCTCAGACTTGCAGACGCCACTCTCCTAAGGACAAAAAGAAGTCAGGAGGAAAACACCCCAACCTTTCACTCAGCTTCTTCTTTTGGGGCAGGAGGCAAAGGGTGCGGGGGAGTGGGGTTGGGGATGGGGGAGGAAAGGGAGGTTGTAATACAACTCCCCCCCGAGCTCCCTCCCTGCACGCACACCCGTCCCCAGCCTCAGCAAAACCCACACTGGATATGGGACCCTCTGCCTCCAGCCCGGCCC